GTTAGCTCTAGTTATGCCAGTTCAAAGGAGCTTAACTCATTTTCAGAATACAACCCTGCCAAGGAGTCCGCATAGGTGGCTCAAGGAATATGTAAGTCTAAGTTAGAGAGCCCGGAGGTCGAGAACCTCAAGAGCTCAAATATTGGACGGGACCTCATGACCCGAAGGTCGTAGAGGTGGAGGTCGTAGTTACGACCTAGATGCATAGCACGGTAGGTCGGTAGATAGGTCTCTCGAGTGACCTAGTTGACCTAAAAGTCATGATAAGAGGGGGGTAGAATCCTTTTGGGACGGAAAATGTATCTTGCTAAGGAATCTCATGTTCTAGAGACGTGGTAGGCTAGGAAAGAGGATACAAGAGATCTTTTTTTTAACCAAGACTCTCTTGGGCACCAAGCCACCACAGTACATAAGAGTGACCAGGTTCTTATTTCACACGCAACGCATACACACGCATTAAGCACAAATATTCTCCATTTTTGTCACGAGCAAATACTGACTTGAGCGTCGAAAGTTTTCCGCCGAGACTCCTACCCGGCGTCTTGTAGATTACCAGAGCTCGAAGTCAGCGACCGTTCGTGATATTCCGGTTCAATTCGGCCAAAGACAAATTTGCATATCACAACAGGTTAAAGCTGCAATGGTCCCCCAATCGGAGAGCCTCAAACTCCAGCCTTAGATGTCAAACTCTAAAAACTGGTTTGGGTAAGTTTTGGTCCACAGACCGAGTCATCAAGGCAATCTCAAACTTTTTATTTATTTATTTATCTTTTTTTAAATCAATTTTGTACTAGAGAGTTAGCCCGATGATGATGAGAGTCGTCGGCATATTTGCGCTTAGTATCTACTCGCAGCCAACAAATGGATCTAAATCTGAAAATGTTAAAGATCCACACGGGCATCCGGCTAACTTGGTGTGATTGATCTTTCATGGGTTTATGTAAGCGAATTGAATAAATGACATGGATTGGTTTATTGTTGAAATATGAGTGATTTAATGTGCGTATAATATATAGTGGAATATTAGTGTTTGTTTATAGAATTTTTTTGTTTTGTTTGGATTTTTTTGTTTGGTTTGGTTAATTTGAAAAAAGTGGTATGGTTAGTTATTAGTGGGTATATTAAAATAATATTTAAAATAAAATAATTAAAATTAATTTAATGTAAAAGTAGGAGATAGATGATTGAAGCGATGGTTAGTTAAAATAATGTGAAGTGATAAATAGTGAATTAAGGTTGATGTGGTGTGTATGAATGATTGATTGATATTATTTAATTACATTAATAATATTGATGATAGTGAGGTTGAGTTAAAGTTAAGTTAAAAAAAATTGTTGAGTTAAAATGTTGAATTTTTTTTGAAAAATTTCCATAAACAAACATTTACGTGTTTGGTGTATTATTTTTGCTCTCTTTTATTTTTGGGAAAATTGCCCTTAATATCATAACCTTTTTCAAAATTGCAATTTAATCACGATTTTTTCACTTTTGCAAATTATATCATAACTTTCAGTTTGTTACAAATAGGTGCACCGATTTGCATATCCTGTGCAAACTATATAACAATCTTCAGTTTGTTGTTCGACCATATCAGCTTTACTATGACTGTTTTCAGACTGTTTGCAACAAACTAAAAATTATGATATAATTTGTAAAATTGAAAAAGTCATGATTAAATTACAATTTCGATAAAGGTCGTGATGTTAAGGACAAATTTGCCTTTATTTTTTCAATAATAAGTTCAACAAAGTTTAGTTTTTTTTTAAACCTAATCTTTGTTTTTATATGGTTTCTTTAATATTGTTTTTTATTCAGTTTGTATCTTAGTGTTTTGAATTTGCTCTTAACTTTTAATTAATGTTCACTTATTATAGAGATAATGTTATAACCTACATAAATGGTAAATAAAGTAAACATGAAATTACAGAACATAAAATTCTTAACTTTGAAATTTAAGGTATTCTTTATATAAAATTAATTATTTTTAACAATGACAATATATTTGCAAAAGCTGTCGAAAAAATGTTGAATATGTAAAAGAGTCAATAAGCATCGACTTTGTTTGTCATGGTTAGATGGACCTGACTTCAGACCACACTATCTAATATTATGATGACCCAAATAAATATCCGCAATATGACCATAAATTGTATGGGTAATTACTCTTACCCATCTGTATATGACCAGCCTATTGGTTAGATGGACCTGACTTAAGAATATACTTTTGCTTTTGCTTGTAAGCACATACCATGATCAGTTTTTGGTACCTCATATATTCTTTCACATTTCATGTACGCCTCCTTTTGCATTATCATGGATAAACAAATTCAAAGTTAGAATTAATTCCATTTTCATTGCATTGGACTAGAGTTGTTAAATGAAATTAACTGGCCGTGAGCTCGACTCAACTCTCTGAAGTTTTAATTTGGCTTGGCTCGTAACAACATTATGCATTTTCATATTTTACATCTTTAGTAATATATTAATATTGATATCCAAAATCCAAAAGGAACTGATTGATTATAAATTATCTAGTCACATTTGGCCAGATAATTGTTTTTAACTCAAAATCTAACTCAACTCAACCATACTTAATATTATCAATATAAAATATCAATCAGTTATCTTCACACATCACATCAACTTTAGTTCACTATTTATCTACTCACATAATTTTAACTATACATCAGTTCCAAATTCCAATCATCTCTCTCATATCTTTACATCATATCAACTTTAGTTATTATAAAATGGATAATATTTTAATACAAACTCAAAATCTCACTGAAACCTAACTCAATCAACCTTTTCAAAATTAACTCAGGGTATCCAATAAATCCAATCGAATTTCAAAATAACTTATATCAATCACCAAAAAACCAAACAAAATTAAAAAGTGAATAGAAGCACCCCCCACTCTGTCTGTCGGCTGATTTGAGTTTGGCGTTGTTTGGGTCTGAGGTTCCGTTTGCTGCTCTGTTGGGTCTGTGTGTTTTGGTGTATGACTCGTGTGCCAGTTCGGGTGGTCGTTGCGAAGTGTAAGGGAGGTCAAGAAGGTGTGCGTAATTTTTGCTTTTCTTTAGTTTTTTTGATTCTGTTTGTCCAACTTCGTCTGACTTTAATCTCTTTTATGGAGTTCAGGTCTCATTTTATGGAGTTTTGTTCTGTGGTTGTTTGTGCCTTCTTTATGGAGTTTATACCCCCTTGGTCTTCTAAGGGGATTGGTCCAGACTTTGTTCTGGTTCCAGTAGTGTCAGTTGACACTTAGATTGTACTCTTTTGAATTTTCATATATTAATATAATTATTTTTTGAAAAAAAAAAAATTAGTATCCACTCATTACCGTTGAAGCTAGGAAAGACTAAAACAGGTGAAGCAGCAACACTTAATGAAAGAGCCATTCCTTGTGTTAGAATATCACTTGTAAGTTGTCCCACATCATTCATATATGGAAAATAGACCCACCTTATAAGACTAATGAGTTACTCCTCCTTCCACCAATTGGTTTTGGGATGGAACCCCATTTGGGCTTCATATGGGTTTTTCCCTTCTTTCATGGTGTCCTTCATGGTAGTGGGCCAGCACCAATTTTTCTCCAGTTTCTGTCATGGTATCAGAGCTGGTTCTATCTTGGACCGTGTGATGACGTACCCATTGTTTATCCCCTACGTACCCGTTTATGGGAGCCTGTTTGTAGTAGGGCTTGGGGCACCCAGCCCAGTTGGGCTTGGGCTTTCGAAGGACTCACAAGTGAGGGGGCGTGTTAGAATATCACTTGTGAGTTGTCCCACATCGTTCATATATGGAAAATAGACCCACCTTATAAGACTAATGGGCTACTCCTCCTTCCACTAATTGGTTTTGGGATGGAACCCAATTTGGGCTTCATATGGGTTTTTCCCTTCTTTCATGGTGTCCTTCATGGTAGTGGGTCAGCACCAATTTTCTCCCAATTTCTGTCACCTTGCATTCCTGGCTCGTGTATTTTACTAGTATTTTAAATGCAGGAAGACAAAATTTTCCAAGTATGGGGATACATATGTAGCACATCAGTGATAGATTGTTACCATCTAAAAAAGTTATTCAACTATATTTATAATTACACTACATGTATATCCTCCAANATATATATATATATATATATTAAAAAATAATATTTTATAATATAAATATGCATTTATATTAAAATAATGATGATTGATTCTTCTACTGTTAGACTGTAATATCAATATTTCTATGTGATGGTGCCTTTTAATTATAGGTTATTAGCTCCAGTCTCTCATCCTCATCTAAGCAAATTTTAGCAACTTTCATATTTTGACTGAAAGCCCGACACTAAGAGCTCGACGTCTCTTCACACACATCAATCTCGATTACCAGACAAACAATTAAGGGCAAGAAATTTAGATATTTGGGATTGCGGAATCACCTTTTTTTATATAGGAACTGCATTGACAAGCAAACACGGAAATTAATTATAACAATGCTAGGCATGTCATAAGAAAACATTAAACACATGCTTATGTATACGTAAACGAGTCAACAACATCTAGGCCAACACACGACAAAAGAAAACCATCTTGTTTCTGAAGCATTTGGAGTTTGTTTTGAATCTTCTGGTCGCGATGCTGGTGGCTCGGGTTTTTCTGGTACGACTTTAAAGATTAAGGTTTTCCATGATCGTTCAACAATTTGAAATTAAGCAGAAAAAAATAGACTAGATCAAAATCTCATTTAGTTTAATTTGTAGCAATTCAATACAGATAGAGATGATTGTAATATAGTGATGAAGATTACAGTTGGTTTAGAGAAGTAAATGTGCATTTATGTGAGGAGATCATTGTGGATGGATGTATCATCAATAGTACACAACACAAATCTGCATTACTAACTTGAAAGATAATGAATTGGAAGAAAATAAATAATGAACTGGTGATAATCAAGGTGACATGGCCCATTAAGTAAGGAAGAAAAACAGACATAAGGTGAGACGAGATATCTTACAGTGGGAAAACAAAGGAGCTGGCACTGTTGTTTCGAATGTCGTGAGAAAAGCGAGGTGGGCTCGAGAAAGTGTGGGGGCTACTCACAATTTTTGTAATAACCATTTGATTAGCACTAACAACATTAGGCTGACCCTGTTTTCCCATTTCATGTTGATCGAGGGACGGCCAAGTTTCTTCAACAACTGAGGGAAGCCCTATCAGCTCGCTCGACTTTAATTGTGATTTATTCCATTCATCGAGTCTGGGGAGCTCTCCCGACATCCTAAGCTGGAAGTCCTGAAGATCGGCTGATTTTCCATATAAAATGGCGTAATCGCGCGAGAAACTATTGTTGGGCATGTGGATGCTGAATAGAGACTCGTTGGAGGCTACACTCCACTCGCTTGGGTTAGTGGGTTTGGTGGAGAAAATGGAGGCGGGTATCCGGTTTGGGTCATACCCAATCGTCGAGTTTCCAATGCCAATGCCATCTTCTACTTCTTGCTTGCTTACCCTATTTTCTTCTTTGTCCATTCTTTGCTCATCTCATTCATTGCCATCGAGAGGATGGTTTTTGGCCCGCTGTTTCGATTGGGTAGAGTTATGACCGACAACAGCCTCGTCACGTGTCTGGTGGAAAGGTGGCGACCGGAGACGCATACCTTCCACTTTGACTTCGGGGAGGCCACCATCACGCTGCAGGACGTACAAGTCCTTTTTGGTCCCCCGATCAATGGAGAGCCTTGTTGGGGAGTGACTCAAGATAACACACTCCAAAAATGGCAAGAAATTTGTTATGATGAGCTAGGGTTCGAGCCCTATGTTCAGGTAAATTTTTCTCTTACAATTTTTTTTTTTTTTTTTTTTAAATTTTGTTTTATTTTTTTAATTTTATTTATGTTTACTCCATTTATTAATTTTTAATATATATAAACCACTCTCAGAAGGGCCGACGAACCGGTTCAAGACCCCAAGACTTGGGCCATTACAGGCCAGTATTTGAAGGCCTATGCGTTAGAAGACGAGTGCAACAGAGAGCTACCCGATGGAGAGCATTGCTTCACCTACGAGGCGAGGGCGAAAGCCCTTATACTCTGGTGCATCGGTTCCTTCTTCTTCCCCGACCAGAGGGGCAATGGAGTGAACCTCTATTGGTTGCAGCTTTTGCACGACATCGATAGGATCAAGACGTACAGCTGGGGTTCGGCAGTCCTGGCCGGAGTGTATAGAGCGCTCTGCACGAGCGCCAAGTCCGGGGAAAACTGGATCAAGCACTGTGTCCAATTGATTCAGGTAAGTTTATTTGCTTGTTATTTCAAAATTCATTTTTTTTTTCTAATTTAGACTAATATCTAATAACAAATGAATATGTCGATATGTGTATGTTTGGGCATATGAACGTATCCCTCGTATTCGCCCAAGAATGAGGGATACGAACTTTGAGAGAGTCCCTGGTTGTCCCTTAGGTGGGAGGTAATAAAATTTATTTATATTTAATATTTACATTATTTACACTATCAAATTTTATGATTACAAATTGTTTTTTTTTTTACTGTGATTTTTAAGGTGGGTGGGAAAGAGGAGCACAACACACCTGGGCAAGCGAACAGCCACCACCCGGGATCAATTGACAGGGCTCACAGAGACGGATGTAAGATTATTATTATTATTTTTTGTTTGTTTTAATTTTCATATAAATTAATTCCTAATTTTTTTATTTTTTTTTTTTTTTTTTCAGTTCGATTGGCTACCCTATCAGTGGCACCTACAAGGGAATGCTCTCCCGACCCAGTGTACAGAAGGTTCGCACCTCTGGATGTATAGGGGGTGGATCTTCAACTGGAACGTCCGTGAAGTCCACCTGCCTGATAGGGTCCTCCGTCAGTTCGGGTGTCGGCAGTCCACCCCCCGAACCTCCTATCATTCCGACTGAGACCGAGTATCAGCTACGCCATCGAGGCCTGGGGATGACTGGGAGGCCAGTTTTTGATTGGGTCGCCTTTCACAGAGAGCTTGGGAATGCTTGGGTCGAATATAGAAACGAAAATGTCGTCCCAGCCATCGCTGTGGAGCCATTCATTGAGCCTGAGGCGGGTTACCTTGATTGGTTTCAAAATATCACTATGAGACTACTCGGTGATCCTGCCAAGTACGCGGTGGCCCAACCGGACAGAGGCTTTCACCCACTTGCCGAGTAGGGGATTTGCGATGTAAATAATATATATTTCTGTTTTTTATTCTCTTATTATTATTATTATTATTATTATTATTATTATTATTATTATTATTATTATTATTATTATTATTATTATTGTGTATGTTTCATTCTAATTGACTTTTAATTTAATTTTCAGGCTACCGCCATGGAGGGAGCTTTTCACACGTTATCTAACGTGGACCATCTATATCATACACTCCATCCAGAAATGTTGGCGGCATTCGAACAGTCCAAGAGCCTTCTAGACAGTTCTCTGACTGTCGGAGGCGTAGACGTCGCACAAGGGACGTCGTCGAGCCAAGTTCTATCGCAGGAGAGCTACGTCTGATCCTAGAGGACGCAGTCACACCTGGCGAGGCATCAACCTGCTGCCAACATTGGTGGAGGTAGAAGACAATGCGACCGCCAACCCGCTGCCGACACCGGGCTTCAAGAAGAGGAAGAAGGTGAAAATTTTTAACTTAACAAAAAAATAATTTTATTTATTTATTGTGATTTTTAAGAAAATTATTTACTCAGGTGAAGAAGAACAAGAAGAAGAAGAAGAACCTGTCACGCCCACACCATCGTGTTCTGCACGACGACCACGACGTCTGATCAGCCACCGACAGCGCAATCCTACGAATCGATACACTCCTAATTAGTTTGTATTGTATTTAGGGAATTTTGTGAACATATTTGTTAATTTTTTTTTCCATTCTGTATACTGATATTTGTGTTTTGAATAAATTATTGTGGTTGACTTTTTGTATATACTGTATGTTGGATTATTTTGGGCGAATTGATTCATATTAGTTGCTTGAACATGTTGTGATTTGTTGAACAGGTTGTGAAATGGATCCAAAAAAATATTTTGCATTTTTCTGCAGAGAAAAACGTATTCTATGAATACGTATTATGAAGAATTAGGGCAAAATCAATTTTTGGGGGAAAAATTGATTTTACACAGAAAACGTATTTGACAAATACGTTTTCTATTTCCAAAATTTATTTTCTACAGAAAATTTATTTTTAATCATTTTAAAATTAATTTTATTTAAAAAACGTATAAATAGAATCCGTTTTATAATTAAAAAATTAATTTTAATTATAAAACATATTGAAATTATATGTTTTTTGTCCAGTTATTTTTTTTTATTTTTAAATAAATAAAAAATTCTATCACACGATCCAAGCCATTCCCTGGGACATCTATGGCCACTGTATCGCCGTCTGTGCTCGAGGCATTGGGCGATCCAGTTGAAGTTGAAGTTGGCTCCAACGTCCATATATACTCAGTTCATCGAAGAACTGAGCTTGGACTTCCCCCTAAGTGAGCGGTGGGGCTGTTGAGGGAACCTCAACCCTTGAGACAGCCTTCTCAGAGAGGTCGGCGACTTGGCCCAACAAGCTCTCCTTCTCCTTTTCTCAGGCCGTCTACTGCTCCTGCAAGGCGACCATCCCAAGTTGGAGCTCCTCTGTTTGTCCCCTCGGAGTGAGTCAACCTCCTTTTTGAGGGTTGTCTTGACCTTCACTTGTTTCTCAAAGGAGTGAATTTTTTCCATGTAGATCTTTTGAGAATCCTTCAACCATTCAAGGGGCATACTCTACCTCATGACCTCTTCGGCGGTGTTGATGAGGCCGATGTTTGTCCCATTTTTGTTGCGTTTTTCGTTATCTTTTTGTCTTTCTTTTTTCCTCATTTTAGGTGTTTTAATTGGTTTTTAGGTCGTTATGTAGTTTATTTTGTGGTTCGCTTTATTTTAGTCTTTCTTGTGTTTTTCGGTATTTTCCCGGTTCTTCTTTGTTTCTGGTGCGCAGGTCGAAAGCATCGGAAGGATAGAATTTTTGGCGACAATTGGCCGTGCAAGCATAATAGATAGAGGGTTTCATTGGCGACAAGCAGAAAAAAATGGAGTATAAACGAGCCCGAAAAGTGAAGACGTGCACGGAAACCAGCTGCCCAGACCTCGCGCCCGTGCCGCGCCGCGCCAGTCCGTCCCTCGCGCTAGTGCCGCGCAGCGAAGCTACCACGACATGGACTGTAGCTCCCAGCATCCTCGGGCCCACGCAGCGTGCTCCACCACGCCGCGACAGAAACCCGCCCCGCGCCGCGATGCCCTGCCGCGCCACGCCCGAAGAACTCAGCACGACGCGTCTGTGCCACGAGATGGACTGAGCACCACGTACGAGACCCTGCCACGCCCTGCTCTCCCTGCCGCGCCGTGAAGCCTCCCCCTGCCGCGCCGTGAAGGACCTCCTGCGTCGTGATGCCGTGCTGAGTATAAAAATAAGATCGGGCTGCGACAAAAAGGATTCTTTTGACGCCCAGAAAACACCGAACCCTATCCCATCTTTCATTTTTTCGTTCTTTTCACTTTTCTTGATATTTTTCATCGTAGAACAAGTATTTGAACTCGGATTTTCTACTGCTTTCGGATTAATCTTGTTTATCGGATTCATCATTCAATTACCATTATTCGTAAGTTTTTTTATACATCTAATCCATGGATATGTTGACTTTGATCATGGTGGTTTGCGTTGATAATTCGAATATGTGTGGCTAAATCGTTATGCTAGGGATAGGGGATTGATGTTATAGAATCGTTTGTGATTGTCGGGCTCAAGATTGTTCAATTTGTGCGTGTTAATATTTTATTAGGGTTTTTCAACTGTCAGGCTTGAGTATTGATAATTGTTGAAGGGTAACACTTCAACTTACAATTGTTTCAATTGAATTTGATTTATTCGTGCTTGAAATTGGGGATCTATTTGATTAGTCGGTTAGCCACCCTCTAGTCTACTTTAATCGACTCTTGGAACCGAAAGAGGAGGAGTCGATAGAAATAGGCTCGTATGAACTAGGCTTGTTCTTAACTGTATTGCTTAGAAGTTAAATGAATTGTTAATTTGCCGTTCTAGTTTGTTCTCTTGGTACGAAAAGTTATTGAGAATGAGTGCTTGAACGTGTCGATTAGTCAAATCACTTAACCGAACAATCTCTTGCTTGATAATTGCATTTTCGAACCAAAACGGATATCCCCGACTCCATAGCTTCTTAAATCCTGATTGTTCTTCGTTGTTGCTCGCTATTTCAAATTGCTTAATTTAAATTCTCTTGGTAGTTGATAATTAAATCCAAATCAATCCATCTGAATTAGAATGTTTAGGAATTTTATTTACTTTTGTGTGCTTGAATAAACGTGCATAGTATTCCGGCTAACCTTCCTCGTGAGACACGACTCGGTGTTCGAATCTTTCGATTCTACTCCGTAAAATTATTAACAACAAATTGGCGCCGTTGCCGGGGAGGGTTTAGGACATATTTTGTGCACTT